GTTCAGTTACCCGGAGCTGCTCTTGTGCGGAGAACAACGGGTACAGAAGGTTCCTCCCTCACCCCCCAGACCCCGGGAGCCTCAGGACCCGGCCGCCTGCCCCAGTGGTTTGCACTTTCTGACGCCCACCCTGCGCGTCTCGGGTCGCCCCGGAGGGTTGGCTGGAGGGGGTCGGGGCCGAGCGGGTGGACGAGTGGTTGGTGCTGCTTTCCTCTGCTCCCCAGGGTTAGCCGAGGCTCCCACCCGGCTCCACTGACCCCCATCGTGCGCCGAAAGCCGCTCCGAGCCGGTTTTCCTCTGCACCTTTCGAGAAACATCAGGTTTTCCTCCTTCCTTTCTGCTCCCCACACAAAATCTGAGGGCCCTGCAAGTTGTGTGGGTGGGTTTTCCGTGTGGAGCTCCAGCTGTCCTTTCCAGTGGAAAGGAAGAGAAAACCTAGGGGGACACGCCCCCCCAATCAAGCAGGGAAATTGTGTAACCCCTCCAGCATTATCCTCGTCTTCGTCTCCATTTGTTACGCTTGGCGCTGTGGCTGCTGAGATGCGCGTGTGAGCGTGGAGGATTTTTCTTAATGGAACGGGATTTGGAAGTAATCTAAACATTTTCAGACTAAGAATTCCGCTTTAAGAATGAAGGAGAAATGTTAGTTGTCTGGTTACTTGTTTTTCTCTCTCGTGTTGGTATTGGTGGGCCTTTTTATCTTTGTTTTCTCCTGGGTTTGTCCATACTGTAATTGAATGGTGTTTTATTTGGCGCCTACTTTCCTTTTCTTATTTGAATGCATATCATTAGTTTATAGGTTCGAGTTGGAGGGCATTGCATTTGGCCACTGTAATTTTTGGAGAATGATGAAAGAAATCTTAGCTTTGAATTTTTTAAAACTTTACTGAAAAGAAATAGCTGTGATGGAACTGGTGAGCAATGGAGATAGAAGAGAGGTTTGTTGTAATTGTAATTTTTATTGTGCGTTCATGATTTTCGGAAGTAAATTAAAAAGGGAAATGGTAGAATAACAGTAATAAGAGAACAATTTCCTCTTGTTTAGAAGTTATGTTCTTTATTAGGTTTTGCTCTTGTACAGGTCTAGTGGAGTTCTGTTTTTTGTCCTCAACTATCTTTATAGTTGAAATGAATGACTTCTTAGTTTAAAAATATCATTTTAAACAATGTCACCAGATTTTGTTTATTTTATGGGCAGCTAATCTTTTGACCATTATTTACAAATGTTGTGTGGTCAGATCATTACTAAATGTTTTCAACCAAAATGAATTAAGGATAGAGATCATTTTGGTCACTTCCTCATAACATCCTGCCCTTTAGACTCGTTTTAGTGCCCCTGTTTATAAACGTCGCGTCATTTTTCTCCCCCCAAATTTTTTGAAACTATTGAATCGGATCATTTTTCAAGTAGTATTTCATTTTGTAATCTAAGTAGGCTTGCAGTTTTGTTCCCTAATCTGTTTTATAAGTTGCAGATGAAAAGCATCCTTTTTGGGTAAAAATACATAAGAATGGCTAACATTTACTGAGTTCTTACAGCGTGCTAGTTCTAAGTATGGTGCATAATTTATCGAGTTTCACACAGCAGAACTCCATGAGGTAGGAACCATTATCTCCACTCAACAAAGGAGGAGGCTAATGCATCTTTGCAACAAAGACTTATCAGATTTTCCTATGATTGCGTCCAACGAACATACTCATTACATAATTGTAGAAAACACTTTTCGAAAATAAAGTCCTAGACCTAGGAAAGGAAATCCTAGGAAGAGAGACCATCAAAAAGCAAATTATGGACGTTAGAACTGGCCTGAAGCCTGGCCAGTGTAGCTCAGTGGTTGAGCATGGATTCATGTGCTGAGACACAGATTCTGGTCGGGTTTGGAGCTTGATCCCTTGCCAGGGGGCGTCCAGGAGGCAGCTGATCAATGTTGATGTTTCTATCTCTCCTTCTCCACTACTCTCTAAAAATCAGTAAAAACATATTTAAAAAAAAAAAATTGGTCTGGAAAGTGACAATTCCCAAATTTAAATTTGGTTTTTCTTCCCCTCAGGGGGAGTCCAGTTACTTTTAGGGATGTTGTAATATTTTCCAAATAGCTTGAATTTTGAGTTATTGTAATTGAACAACATACCATATAGCAGGGTAAGAGTAGAAAGGGGAGGAAGAGAGAAAATTAAGAGAAAAAGATTCTAAAATTTTGAAATAACCATCTATCCTTGAATAAGAAGATTTAGCTTCAGATCCTTAAGTTGATAGGTGTAGGTATAGGAAATTTGTTACCTGTGAACACCATCTATATTGGGGTGTATTTAAATTATCCTCGTTCATAAATACAAAATGAACAGTAAAACCCTGATTAACTGAATGCAGTAAAGAATTTTTTCTATCCTTTATATTTTTTATTAATGAGGGAAAGCACAATTAATGAACATGTGTTGGCAAAGTATGAGAATCGAAACCTCCTCCCAGGTTGTCAGGACACAGGTTAGCTAAACCCTTAACCTTTGTTGCCTCTGTAGAGTCTTGAGTCCTGATTGAGGTGGTTCAGGATGGTGACTGAGGCATTGCAATCATCACTATCCTGAAAGATTAATTTGTTTACCATTTCTGGCTAAAGGGAAATAGTACAATTTAGAAATACATTTTGGCAGTAATTGATACACAATAAATTTTTTTTAACTCTTAGTAAACCGGAAAATCACTTAACCAGAACATACATTTGTTGTGGCTTTTTTTGTATATTCAGAATGAGTAATTGAACATCTACTATAAAAGGAAAAATAAACGATAATAGTGTTAATGTGATTATACTGTTACAGAATTCTGTTGTATTCCATTGCTTTTTTAAAAAAACATGTGGCTTTTTTTCTTTTTTAAGTTGATTTTAGAGAGAAAGGAAAGGAGATGGGGGAGAGAAACATGGATGGCTGCCTCTTGCATGCCCCCTACTGGGGATGAAGCCCGAAACCTGGGCATGTGCCCTAACTGGGAATCAAACTGGTGACCTCTTGGTGCATAGGTTGATGCTCAACCAACTGAGCCACACCAACCAGGGCCCATTGCTTTTTATATTGCATATTTTGGGTAACATATATGAAAGATCACCTGAAAATGGTTTTGAGTTAAGGTCAAAGGACAAAATTATTGCCTCAGTTTTGCCTGGTAGCAGTTGGTAATTTTCATATTTACTAATTTTCAGATCTTTTTCACCTGAAAAGCACATAGCATACTTAGAGCCTTGATTCTGGGTAGGGGGTTATTTCTTAACTGAAAGGAAAGTGAGTCAGTTTTTGTAAAGTTATATTTGTAGACTCTTGAGTAACTATGAGATTTACTTTTGATGCCTATATGAAGTCTACATAAAATATTTTAGAATGGTATATCAGGTGTTCTTATTAAAAAATATATATCCATGTGTTTATGTTTGCGCACGTAAAATGGGTCAGACCAGTAGTACAGCCTACCTAGTATTTGGACTTCACAGTGACATGAGGGAACAGTTTATAATGGCAAGGCATGGTGGTTGCTCACTGTCCTTCACTTTTGTCTCAACATAAGGCTGAACCCCGAACATGCCTAGTATTTATTATTTTATTAGCAATCTGTTCCGACTAATTTATTTCCTTTCAAATCATGTTTATATTTTCCATTGGTAACTCCTGTTCGGATAGAGGATTCTGTAAGTTTATTACTTATTACAATTATCTGGAAAATTAATTCTGAAATTAATTTCCTTTAAACTTTAAAGAGCACCCGTTTATTCTAATGCCCTAGACATGTTGAGTTGTTTTGCATTTATTCTGTTCACTTTTTCGGTCATATTTTTTAGACTTATTGTATCTCAGCCTTTGTATCCAGAATGAAGTGTCTCAGTTTCAGTGTGCAGATATTTGTCCCTTCTGCATTTTTTTCTTGTTCTTCAGGGTTAACCAAATCTGTATCCAGTACTTCAGCTGTCAAATGCTTTCATTTTTAATTACTTAAGATGCTACTTCAGTAAAAACATCTAGCCTCCCTTTTTTATTAAAAATAACTCTCTAGTCAATTATCTCATAGTTTATCTTGGCTTTTTTGTATATTGAAAAACCATATATATGGAATGTGTCTGCTAAAATAGTAAACTTGAGTAAAGGATGTGATTTATCTTTTTGTTTGTTTTGTTTACTGTTTATATTTTGTTTTGGTTAAAATGGAAAATGTGGGATCCTAGCTGTGTGTGTTTTTAAAAAACATTTATTTATAATAAACTTTCACTCTCCCCTGCTAGAAGTAAACCATGTAATGTTTTCTATTTGCAGTGATTTCACTTTTCTAGCTTTGTTTAAGAATAGAATGTATTCCCATCCATTGACAGGATGTAGGTGATATAGAGGTTGAGCTTGATGCTGGGCCTCTGCAGAAAGCCAAAGCACCTATAGATAATATAGTGATAACACAGGGCAGATGATTAAATGCTGACTCTAAGTTAATAACCTAGAGATCCCTTTAGAAGCATTTCCTGACCAAAGCAGTTATTCTTTGTTGGGATGATCTCAAACTAGAGTTATAAGTGGGATTTTTATTTTTACCTAATTTTCTTGGGGTTGTTTTGTCTGCCTTTGGATGGGGTGACTATATGATCATTTTACAGTGGAGACAATTTGTATTAAGTTCTTAACCACCAAAAAACTAGAATGTATAAGAATCCATTAACACTAAGTATTTTTTACTTCAAACCAACATTTCTTTCTAGTTACTTTTAATGCTTCTAACTTATTTGTTAATATTTGGAAAAGTTGATTTTCATTAGTAAATTTAAGGATGTATTCAACTCTGATTAAATTAATAGTAATACTTCTGTTTTTCCCCCTACTCACTTTGAATCAGAAAAAGCCCATTCACACAGAAGACCCATTTAATGATGAGCATCAGGAGAGGCAAGAAGTGGAAATGTTGGCTAAGAAGTTTGAAATGAAATATGTGAGTATAATAAAGTGTTCACTTAGGTAATTTTATCCTGTTGACCTATTTTCTTTCTGTGACTGGTTGAGAGGGTGTATAATATTCATTGTCCACTTTATTTTGTTCTCACAAGTTGAATCCAAATAAATGGTTATAGACAGCCAAATAAAGATTCTGATAGGTTTATGATGGCTATAATAGTAGCCATTGTTATTTTATTCCTTATAGAGTCAGGCAGTTTGCTTAACATATATTATCTCCAATCCTTAAAACAAAACTACAAGGTAAGTGGTATTGACTACATTTTACAGATGAAGAAAATAAGACTCTGAGCTCAAGGTAAGTAACTGATCTAAGGTCACACAGTGGCAAGAACTAGGCTGCATATCCAGCTATGTGTAGCTCTAATCCTTTGCCCTTTCCACTGCTGGTGCGAATGCTGCTTTAATCCCCTTGGTGTAGTAGTTCTCAACCCTGCCTGCCTCTTAAGAGTTTAAGAGAATTGCCCTGGCTGGTGTGGCTCAGTTGGTTGAGAGTCGTCCCATGCACAGTGAGGTTGCCAGTTGGATTCGTAGTCAGGGCACATGCCCTGGTTGTGGGCTCAATCCTCAGTAGGTGGTATGCAAGAAGCAACCAATCGATGATTCTCACTCATCAATGTTTCTCTCTCTCTCCCTCTCCTTTCCTCTCTTATCTTTAAAATTAGTAAAAACGTTTAAAAAAAAAGAGGTTAAGAGAATGAATGTGTGTAGGCCCCTGGGATCAGAATTAGTCAGAAGCAGCATGAACCTAGCCAGGTGTGGCTCAGCGGTTGAGCATCAACCTAGGATCCAGGAGTTCCGGGTTCGATTTCCGGTCAGGGCACTTGCCCAGGTTGCGGGCTGCAGCCGATCAATGACTCTCATCATTGATGTTTCTGTCTCTCCCTCTCCCTTCCTCTCTCTGAAATCAGTAAAGATATATATATATATTTTTTAAAAGGCACCATGACATTTTTTTTGAAAGTTTTTTGTTTACCTTAAAAATTTATGTACTTTAAATATTCTGTGCTACAGTAGATTGTGTTTGTTTCTTTTTGGTGTATATTCAGGCACTTTAATTGTGCAGGGATAAATGTTACTATTATTCTAATCCAAATTAAGGGGCTCTATTTCTTCTCTAGATTTTTATTTTAGTTACTCACTAATTTTCATTTGAAGTAAAAATTTAAAATGCCCTGCCTCATGAAGGAAGGCTTTATGTGCTTAAACCTAAAAGCATGCCATGAATATTATGAGCATTAAATATATATATTATAACAAATTACTTGGAACCTTTTAAGAAAATCAGGGCCCCGGCGGGGTGGCTCAGTTGATTGGAGTGTCTTCCCATACACTAAAAGGTTGTGGGTTCAGTTCCTGGTCAGGGCACATACCAAGGTTGTGGGTTCGACCCCCTAGTCGGGGCGTGTATGGTTCTCTATCACAACAATGATTCTCTCTCTCCCCCCTGCCTTCTGTAAAATCAATAAACATATCCTTGTGTGAGGATTAAAGGAAATAATAATAAAAGAAGAAAATTATTAGGCTAAAACAAATATTTTTATTGGTGTTCAAGGACAGCAAATTCAGATGTCAGTATGTATATTGTAATCTATAACATACGTATATTTATATTTTTAAGTAAAAGAATCTTTTTTTAAAAAATATATTGATTTCAGAGAGAGAGAGAGGGAGAGAGAGATAGAAACATCAGTGATGAGAGAGTCATTGATCGGCTGCCTCCTGCACGCCCCCTCCTGGGGATCGAGCCCGCAACCCCAGCATGTGCCCTGACCAAGAATCGAACCACCATGTCTTTGGTCCTAGGTCAGCGCTCATCCACTGAGCCGGGACAGCTGGGCAGTAAAATTAGCCCTGGCCAATTAGCTCACTGGTTAGAGCGTCAGCCTGTAGACTGAAGGTCCTGGGTTTGGTTCTGGCCAAGGGCATGCAGCGTGGCTGCAGGCTCAATGCCCGGCCTGGCCTGGGTGCGTGCTGTGGCATCCGGTCAGCGTGTCTCCCTCACATCGATGTCTCTCTCCGCCCCCCCTTCTCTGAGAAGCAATGGAGAAAATACCCTTGGGTGAGGATAAAAAAAAAAAATCTTTGAAGTATTGTGTGTAAAATCTGCAAAATGTTAACCTGCCAAAATTATATTTTCTAATTTTTTTCCGGCTGATAAGAGAAAAAAGAGGCCTTAATTCTTCACGGCTTATAAAACACAAGTAAGACTCAGGTCCCGAGCTGCCTTTTCTTATTTTTGTTTCCTTCGTATCATAATTTAATGTCTTTGTCATTATATCTGAAAATTACTGGAGGTTGCTTCCAGCCTTTGTTTCTTGGAATGAGAGATGAGTTATTTGTTAAATTTTGAGTGTAAATAATGAAGTATATGACCATTTACATTGGACACAAAAAGGGCATATTAGTTGCCCTTCCCTGGAAAATTTTTCAAAATAATTGATAATACAAGAGATATTAAGATACACAGATGCAGTACTAAGCAGTTCCTACAGAATGAATGACTGTCCTCTGAGGATTTGAAAGTGAGTGAAGGGCCAGTTCTGTTCTTGAAATCAGAGTGAATTTTGGAGACTTTGGTGCAGCGTCATTGAATGGGTACTTTCAGTCTCCTGGTGAAACAACATTTCTCTGTGGTCCTTGGAATAGCTTTTCTACCCTTTGTAGGGTAGTGGTAGATGAGAGGCAGTAGTGGCAGTGTATTATAGTGGAAGGCGCACAGGATTTAGGAGTTAACACAACTGGATTCTGATCCTATCTTCACCATATTAACTCTGGCGACCTTAGTGAAGGCTCTTGGCTTTTCTATGCTTTGGTACTTTTGAGGGGCAAAAAAATCTGCTTAGCCAACCTTATAGCACAAGAGTTTTATCAACATTGGATGAAAAAAATAGAACATTAATGTTCAAAATATTGAAAGTGCTATCTAACTGGAACATATGTTTATGTTTAGTCACTTAAACATATCACTCTTGTGGAGAACTTCTCTGTCTTATTCTGTACATGTCATAAGTCCTTTTAAATATCTATAGGGTTTTAACCTCTGTTAATTGAATACCTCACTGATTTTGATGTTTTAGCTCAGGCATTGTATTCCAAATGGCCTTTATCTCTGGTCCTTCAGTCACTTGTAACTGATTTTTCTTAACTATTGTGGTCCCACAACAAATTATTTGGAACTTTTTAAGAAAATCACCAGGCCAAAAGTGACCTGGGAGAAGATACCTTGTCCAGTGTAGGCTCTCAAAAAAGATGACTCTTATACAACAAATGGAAATCTTTATTGACTTTGTTTACTGTCCTATAGTTCAGGAGTAGCAAATTCAGGAGTCCCCAAGATTTTTGCTGCTCAATCAGTGAAGTAGGCCAGGTGGGCAATAAATGTGTACAGTTGTCCCAAATAGCAAATAGTGTGTGCCCTGTCTAAAGCGCCAGCTGCTTCTCAGCTCCATTCCTTTGTTACTCTGCAGGAACTTTGGCTTAGGTTCCTCTAACATCTCTTTCTTTTCTTTCTTTATTATTATTATTTTACTTTTTATTGAACTTACTGAGGTGACATTGGTTAATAAAGTTATATAGGTGTACAATTCTAGAATACACCATCTGTATATTGTATTGTGTGTTCACCATCCCAAGACAAGTCTCCTTAACATTTCTTTCTTTTAAATGTTGGTTTCTAATTAGAACAACTTAGTGGGCCAAACAACATACATCTGTGGGCCAAATTCGCAAGGCCTTGTTTGAGACCTTGGTAAACTTGCTTTACTATTTTTTTCCTCATATATTTAACTCACCAGTCTATCTACTTTTATATTTTGCCTTTTCTCCTCTGTGAGCAGAGTGGTTGGGGGTGCATGTGGGAGGCTGTGCCATTTCTGTGTGGAGGAGAATGTGTTTGTAAGAAGTTTCAGAGAACTGATAAGTTAGATTCAATTGGGGGTTTCCAGGTTTGGGGAAAGATAAAGGGTGATGCTAGTGATGAATTCTGTGGTTGGTGGAAGGTCCGAGAGGCAAGTTTATGGTTTTTTTGTAGTCTTTTGCATGTGTAGCTGTTGGTTGTGCTGGAGAGGAATGGCATGAGGTGGCATAGCCTGCCCCTTAAGGGGGAAGGGAAGGGTAACCTAGAGTGCAGGATGTGCCATTTCTCTTGTAGCAGTTGCTCGGGGTAGAAGGATTGAGACAGATGTGGTAGCTGAAAAGCAGTGTTAATAGAAATTACAGGGAGTATAAACTTGTAAAAGGAACACCCTGTATTAAATGGTTTGTGGTTTTCTTTCCCTATTCTGTCCTATTTTTATTGCCTGTGTCCTATTTCCTGTTGTGTTGCTTTTTAGGTGATGTGACAGTGCATGTTCAACATCAATTGCAAAATGTTTTGGGGTTTTTTTTGGGAAAAGGGCATTATGACCTAGCTTTTACTAAATTGGTTGTTGTACATGAATCTTACTAAATAGCTAGGTCCAAGTTTTTACATTTCTACTACTACTCTATGGGCTCCAAATTTGTCTTAGTAACTGTGTGGGCCCCTGCCTTTCCTTATTCACAGTTTCAAGGCTCCAAATATTAAGGCTAAATATCCTAGTTTCCAACTCCGTTTTTATATGGTTTCTAGGTTGAGTATGCTTTTTCTAAAGTATGCTTCTTCATATATTCTAGAACAGAGAATAAGATTGTGTTTGATGGGTGTAGATTTGTTTTCTAACCCTTCTAGGGCAGATGGTTGGAAGATATCTTTTAGTGTGTGTTTTTCTATTTTACCCCAGCCATCTTGAAAGATCGTGCTATCCTAGAATTGGATATAAATTTGGTAATCTAATTGAAAGTGCTTAGCACAATATCTGGTGCCTAGCAGGGCTGAGTTAAGATTATTTGAATCTGAATGACTCTCTGAATAGAAAGATATGTATTCTGCCAGGCATTTATTAGCATTTATGAAATCACATTATGACTTTAAAGTCTACTTACTATACTATGTAG